ACCAAACTCGTAACCCAGTGCCACGAAACTTCACAACTCAATGCCCTTCAAACTCACTGGCGAACGCCCTTCACTCTTAGCCCCAAGCATCACACTCAACCCACCGTACACAATGTAACACGACTCCCCTTACGCGAACTGCAGCACGTACGTAGCGGCGCGCTTATGCAGACTATCAATTTTAATGCGAAGCCCTCGTGTGAACTATCCATTGCAATATGGCATCCTAGAACGTAAACTGCGCTGTTTTAACGCGAATAACCCATGATAATTCACATAAGCAAACGCTGTTTGAGCAAAACTCCGCTGTCTCTCCGGCTAGAGCCAAATACGGTTTAGTCCATAAGCCTCTAAGGTTAGTGGTGGCTTTCCAAGACCAAATATTATCCAACAGCATGCGTTTAAACGAGAGAACCCTGGAGCAATGTTGAAACTTCTTGGCTTCACCGGCAGTGAACATCTCGTTAGACTGACTGCTGCTAAACTACCGTAGAACACCACAGGGGCGTGTAAACTACCAATTGCAATGCGGGTAACCCCACCCGCCCCTATGTAAACTACGCATTTGCAACCGCAACTACTTTTTGACTTGGCGATGTGCAACGTCGCCAGATCCGCAGACCGTGCGCATCGAGGGGCAGAGGCAGGGAGTTCGGCGAAATGAACATGACGAAACGACGACGACGACAACAACAATAATAACAACAATAGCATTTAGTAATTACGTGTTTACGCGATAAGCTCTCTAACGCCAGCCAGAGAGGCCGTCACGGTCACAGCTGACGGCGGTGACGGCGGACGGAAGCCGCGCGGGGGTCAGCAGGCGGCGCGCAACAGCTGTCGCGTGAATAACCAAAAACGCGATTTTAAAATACCTCCACCCCCCGGTGCCACGTGGGAACTTGTGATTCAACGTGCTGCGCTGCGGAGTGTGCGTGACATGGAAGGTTGTTGTTGTTGATTGTTTGTTGGGTTAGATCGCGTAAATATATAAATGTGTCGTTAGAGCCGACATAGTATGTATAGTGTGCGTGCGTACAGCGAGCCTCGCTGTCAGACCCATGCGGTTAAGCTCGTATTATTGTAACAGGAGTTTCCAGGTCCATACGGTGGTACAGGTGTTTCTATACGGGTAAAAACATGGTTTTTTTAATACGCTTTTATTTAACTCACTCTGTTGTATCCTCAAATCTTGTAACTCAATTTTTTCCCACTTCCCAATGTGGTATCGACTGCAAACTTGGTATACTTATGTCATACTGATGACAATACTATATTCTATCATAACAAATAACATATTTTAAAAAAAATTATGTTATTTTTGGGCTTGGGTCTCATTGTCCACGCTCAACTCACGTTGCTGTAATTGGCCACGGTCCCCTTACGTTGTGGCAAGTTTAGAGGGCCACTTCGTGGAGTCGTGAAGTTATGCCATTACTAGTACGGTACATTTCATTAAAGCGTGTTTTAAAAAAAAGTATTTTTTAATATATATTACTTATTATCCATGTGTTTGTGTTTCTCCCTTGTGATGGGACTTTGTAGGATGGACGTTGAGGTTTATAAGGGCACGGGCTGATCAATAAGGTCTGAATTGGTCTGTAATAAGGGAGGGCACTGATAAGGGGTTGACAGGTATGTAGTGAATTTTGATTTAAAGCTTTCGTGACTGCAGTAATTCATATTCTTAGTTTTTTCGGTAAAGTCACGTTGAAGAGAAACAACAAAATAACAAAATATATATAAAACAATAAAAAATTCTCACGACGTTTCGACCATTTTTTATTGTTTTATATATATTTTGTTATTTTGTTGTTTCTCTTCAACGTGACTTTACCGAAAAAACTAAGAATATGAATAGGTATGTAGTGGTGAGTGTACTAGTGGTGAGTATACAGTGAGGGAAAAAAGTATTTGATCCCCTGCTGATTTTGTACGCTTGCCCACTGACAAAGAAATGATCAGTCTATAATTTTAATGGTAGGTTTATTTGAACAGTGAGAGACAGAATAACAAAAAAAAACAGAAAAACGCATGTCAAAAATGTTATAAATTGATTTGCATTTTAATGAGGGAAATAAGTATTTGACCCCCTCTCAATCAGAAATATTTTTGGCTCCCAGGTGTCTTTTATGCAGGTAACGAGCTGAGATTAGGAGCACACTCTTAAAGGGAGTGCTCCTAATCTCAGCTTGTTACCTGTATAAAAGACACCTGTCCACAGAAGCAATCAATCAGATTCCAAACTCTCCACCATGGCCAAGAACAAAGAGCTCTCCAAGGATGTCAGGGACAAGATTGTAGACCTACACAAGGCTGGAATGGGCTACAAGACCATTGCCAGCAGCTTGGTGAGAAGGTGACAACATTTGGTGCGATTATTCGCAAATGGAAGAAACACAAAAGAACTGTCAATCTCCCTCGGCCTGGGGCTCCATGCAAGATCTCACCTCGTGGAGTTGCAATGATCTGGAGAACGGTGAGGAATCAGCCCAAAACTACACGGGAGGATCTTGTCAATGATCTCAAGGCAGCTGGGACCATAGTCACCAAGAAAACAATTGGTAACACACTACGCCGTGACGGACTGAAATCCTGCAGCGCCCGCAAGGTCCCCCTGCTCAAGAAAGCACATATACATGCCCGTCTGAAGTTTGCCAATGAACATCTGAATGATTCAGAGGACAACTGGGTGAAAGTGTTGTGGTCAGATGAGACCAAAATGGAGCTCTTTGGCATCAACTCAACTCGCCGTGTTTGGAGGAGCAGGAATGCTGCCTATGACCCCAAGAACACCATCCCCACCGTCAAACATGGAGGTGGAAAATTTTACTTTGGGGGTGTTTTTCTGTCAAGGGGACAGGACAACTTCACCGCATCAAAGGGACGATGGACGGGGCCATGTACCGTCAAATCTTGGGTGAGAACCTCCTTCCCTCAGCCAGGGCATTGAAAATGGGTCGCGAATGGATATTCCAGCATGACAATGACCCAAAACACACGGCCAAGGCAACAAAGGAGTGGCTCAAGAAGAAGCACATTAAGGTCCTGTAGTGGCCTAGCCAGTCTCCAGTCCTTAATCCCATAGAAAATGTGTGGAGGGAGCTGAAGGTTCGAGTTGCCAAACGTCAGCCTCGAAACCTTAATGACTTGGGGAAGATCTGCAAAGAGGAGTGGGACAAAATCCCTCCTGAGATGTGTGCAAACCTGGTGGCCAACTACAAGAAACGTCTGACCTCTGTGATTGCCAACAAGGGTTTTGCCACCAAGTACTAAGTCATGTTTTGCAGAGGGGTCAAATACTTATTTCCCTCATTAAAATGCAAATCAGTTTATACCATTTTTGACATGGGTTTTTCTGGATTATTGTTGTTGTTATTCTGTCTCTCACTGATCAGTCTATAACTAAAATTATTTCTTTGTCAGTGGACAAACGTACAAAATCAGCAGGGGATCAAATACTTTTTTTCCCTCACTGTACTACTGGTGAGTGTAGTAGTGGTGATTGTATATTTTTTTAGTATTTCTCCCTTATGATGGTATTTTGTAGGATTAACGTTGATGTTTATAAGGGCACTGCGTGATCAATAAGGTCTGGATTGATCTGTAATAAGGGAGGGCACTGATGATGGGTTGACAGGCGTGTGCTAGGGAGGTACATGCACATTGCGTGTATTTGTTTAATCACGGTGAGGAATCAGTAAAGTCTGGAAATGACCCAAGAGACCCTGTGGGCGGAGCGAGTATCTCGGTATGCATTTGGGTGGGTTGGGTTCGTAGGTGTGTGGGTTCATAGGTTGGTGTAAGGAGCTCACGAACAGCACTTTGAGTCTGTTCAGGCTGTATGGGGGATCTTTGTATAGGTAGGTGGTGGGTGGACAGACTGGTCAATAAGTGGGGTAGTTTGGTGGATACGCAGATATCAGATAGGTATGTGTTTAATAGATGGATAGGTAGGTGATTCGCAGTCTGGTACGTTTAAATGTACTATTGCTGTAAAGAGTAAAGCATATTATTGTTTCACTAGTGCATAAAACCTATTTTTTTACAATTTTTATTTACAATCACTAACTACTCCAAACGTGTATTTATCCGCAAAAAACCCCCACAAAAATAGTTGACTTGATTCAACTTCATATATTTAAAGACGTACCCACCGGAAACCGTTTCATTTCAAGATTCCGTTATTATTTTTTTAGAAATAAACATTTATTAACGTAATACTCTGAGAGGAAGCTCCTATCTTTTACCGTTTTCAAATTATTCAGATTTGAACATTATAAAATGCTTATTTTTTTCATTCAAACCCGCTTGAATCGGAAATATCTCAAACAATAACAGATAGAATGGTTCTCGCTTTAATTTTATTTTCTGTTTAATGCTCTTATCAAAGAAAAAAAACAATGTTTATGGGGCACCTAAAATCGAGATTTGGGGGCCTTAAAATAAAAAAAATCCGGTTTCCAGATTTTTCCTGCTGTGTCCTAAAAGCTACATATGTACCATATTTAAGCTTTCTACCTTATCGGGAAGTACCCTGAGGTTTTTGAGACATACAGATTAAGGTATTTATAATAAACATATTTTTGGAATGCTGGTTCGATTCATGTTATTGTTTTCCTGGTGGCTTGAGAGTTGTGGGTATTCCATCGTGCCTCTTACGGATTCAGGTAGTCTTGGATTTCCAATTCCTTTTTTTTATTGCAGAACACTTTTCAGACCTGCACTATTTCATTATTTTAAGTGATAGCCATTATTTCATTACAGTATTTTAAGTGATAGCCATTTAATCGTTATGCTTCGACAGTAGTCTTTTTCATTTAAAATTTTTTGTTCGGTGTGCCGCAAAGATCGAGAGCCGTGAGAATTAAAATGTTTGAATTAGTTGTTGCAGCCCGCTGCATTTTATATCGACGAATTACAGTACAGCTGTATAAACAGTATATTTTAAACCAGCCCATGATACAAATCCACGCGGTAAAAAAATTCATTCGAAAGACTTTTGTAAAATCTCGAATATTTTATGGCATAAAATGATTTGAAACATGCACCCAGCTGAAACAATTGTTATCATGCAGTAAAGACATAACAATGCTACAAATACAAACTCTCGAACACCAATTTGTAACACCAGAGAATGCACTCAGGTTCACTTAAATATTGGATTTTTCTATTTTTACGAGACATGTTAAGCTTATGAGCGTGTCAAAATCACCCCGAATGGCCACCTATTTATTCATGTCAGATCTTGGAAGCGAAGTGGAATTAACCCTATGCAACTGCCATTCACAGTTCACCGTTGTTAGCACAAGGGAGTGCAGCAATATACATTGTTGTACGATGCGTCTACCCGCCCACAACTACGCTTTCCACCTTGAACCTGGGTGGATGGTTGGTGCGGCTTAAGTCGGATCGAACAATCCACTCAGCGTGGGGAAGCTCTCATCCAGCAGGTGATCCGACATTTCACATATTGCGTAGGCTTTTTGCACTTGTATACACACTTTCGTTTCACATACTAAGAGCTTCTCCTAGGAATTGAACTTCTCCCAGAACGTGGAACTAAACATCGGGCATCATGCCAAATATTTATGTACACCTTCTTTTGCACCGTACATAGCCAACCGTGCTAAAACTTGCAGCAAGCCCAAAAACACGAGACATTTTGACCTATTGGTACCTCAATGGGAAGGTTGCCACATTTATTTTGTTTAGTTTCAATACCACCATGTTTTTTTAGCATAGTTTTCGATAGAAACAAGTTTACAGGATCCCACTACACTAAAATAAAATCAATGAGTAATTACAATCAACAGTCACGAGATTTTGAAAAAATGTAATGTTTTTAACTCATTGAGAAATTTTCTTTTGCACAAAGGATAAACGTATTCAACTATTACACTGGCACAGTCATATTTTATGGCTATACAATAATAATTCAACAATTCCAAATTTGGCTTTGGACCTGTAGAATAATACATTGTGTTTATTTAGTGCATACGTTATGGTCAGGTGATTTGCATACCTGGGCATTTGTATAGGTGGAAATTCCACCTTGACGTGAGTGTATGGGATAGTTTTTGTGTAAATACATAATTATTCTTGTGTGCATCAGTGTATGTCCACAGCAAATGTATTGCTCTTGACATCCTCAAAGGTCCAGGTCCTCGTGAAGATCAAGAAGTTTTCTCACCAGCTCTGAAATAAGCATACGTGTACATACAAGAGTACCACAATAGTTACACAACTGGCAGGTTCATAGGTTCAGTGCAATCTCCCCCAATGTTCACAACAGTCAGAGTAGAATCTAGTTGATTGATCTAAGCATGCCCCATAGGAGGAAGTCCATGTGTGCCGATATCCCAAGTGTGATTTTATTAGCAGTTGCGCTTTGCCTTCCCCTCCCTCCAAGTGTACGGTAATGTAAGCATGTCTTGCTTATAAAAGAGCTGTGCTTATATTCAGCTCCGATTGTATTGTGGTGCGGTAGAAAAAAATTGCTTCGAAGGATACCAAGTTGCAGCAACCCTCATCTTTGTACGAATTACAACAGACCCTTTGTGAATAATAGTGTAATGTAGCTCTCAGAAACACCTTCTTGTTCGGTTATATGTATATTGATTATAAAGTCCACCGACTCGCTGATAACTTAACGAGTAACCGTGAGTGGCTATATACACTTGGGTAACTCTATGCGACGCTCCCTGTGTAGTTGGCTAGCTACACAGGGGCGGACGTGTAGTCGTCACGGAGACAATATGACTCCAGCCTTCCAAGACTACGGTGGTGCCCGTTCCAGGACGATAAAGACGACCCGCTCCAAGATGACGACGGCGACGACGGCGACGACAGCTCCTTGGTTCCCCCACAACAGCAGCCCAGAGCTCTGTTCCACGCCGGCTTTTATTCCTCTCACAACCCGGCCACGCCCCTCTTCCCGAACACACTGTCCCCGCACCTGGCCCTGTCTGTCTCTGTCCTAATTACAATTTACGACCGTTTAGGTCCCGTGCTTCTCCTCATGCGACCCTGTCAGTGCCCGTCGCATCAATCATTAACACATTCCTGCGGAAGGAGCTGGTAGGAACGCTGGGTTGCTCGGTCAATGGCCAGGGTCAACGGCGGCACCACGTGGTGTATTCCGCAAATATGCCCGACTGTGAGGGCGGGCACAAGCCGGCGTGAGTAGGTTAAACGTTGAGTTTTATAAGGGCACCATGGGGTGACCAGCCCCTCCCCACCCAGCCCCACCCTCTCCACCCAGCCCCTCCCCACCCTCCCCTCCCCACCCAGCCCCTCCCCACCCAGCCCCTCCACACCCAGCCCCTCCACACCCTCCCCTCCCCACCCAGCCCCACCTTCCCCACCCAGCCCCTCCCCACCCATGTTTGGATGCACGACGGACGGACACAATAATTCCCTGTGGGCTGGTGTAACCAGGAGGTTTCTACCAGTATTAGACCACTTAAGTCCCACAGCCTAACGTGAGCCCATCTGTTCCAGTCACGTTAATTAGTAACCATGGCCACGGGGAGCCGTACTGTTCTTACATTACCCCGTACTATCCTTACAATAAGAAGACAATACTTGTTTTGGAAAAGAGTCGAATGATGAATCTTATAATGTTGCAACATGCCTTTGGATGCATGCAGGCAAATACATCAAGACTGTAACTCAGAGAAATTCAACACGTCTATAACAGTGGCGGGTTGTAACGACACATTTATATATTTACGCGATCTAACCCAAACACCTCTGGATGATATTGGTCGCTAAAGCCTACGTGTTAAACTGACGTCTATATTTTATTGTTTTTTTTATATACGTGCAATTCGCAATGGAAAGAGGCACATGATTCACTGGTTATTTTTGTTAATTATATTTTTCACATTGAGGATGTAGTGATGAGGTTGTTAATGGCCTGCACGATCAACCAAGCATCCTGAGTTTTCTTCTTTGGTTCTTTCGGTAAAGTCACGTAGAATGAGAATAAAATAATAAATTTATAAAATAAAATAACACAATAATATCAATTTATTATTTTATTCTCATTCTACGTGACTTTACCGAAAGAACCAAAGAAGATGAATCATTGCAGTCACGAAAGCTTTAAATCGAAATTTCATCCTGAGTTTTGTTCCTGGTTACGGCTAACTTCGGTGGCAAGCTGATATCAGCATATCAGAACTGGCCCTGCCCTCCCCGCCCTTCCACTACCTTGGACTGACCAGTGTAGAAAATCATAAAAATACCCCGATGAGCAAAATGGCTTGGAAGGCCTTCATTTAGTAGTGATTTGACGAAGAGCTGTGAATTGACGAAGAGCTGTAAATTATTATTTTGCGAAAAATGTACAAAGCAGTATTTAAGTGTATACTGAATGTACGTATTACATTGGTTTTTTACCCTGTTTTTTTACCCAGCTTTCGGAGCAGGATTATGCAAGATGTGGTGCATTATTGTTAGATGAGGTCGGGCATGCCCCATGGCATCAAGGGTCACCTGCAGCGCCTGGCCTCAAAGGAACATCACACTCGCGCGCTTGGTCGATCAGAGTTTTCAAGGCCTCGGGGCAGTCCTCCGGCAGTGGCTCACTCTTGCCATTCATCACCATGCTCCGAATTGCCTTCATGTCTTTCCCTGCCGTGAACAATTTCACCATCGCCGTCACCATCAGCATCGATGTTAACAATTACAATGTAAGGTTTATGTAGCATCCAGATGCAGCCCCATTTCAGGATGCTGTGTAGAGCAGTGGGGCGTGAAGGGCAGCAGAATGAAATGAGCGGAGAAGTAGGGAAGGAGCGAATCCATGGAAGGTTTCGATGACACGGAGTGCGATCTTGTGGTTGATCAATGACTGAATTGGAAGACAGTGGAGGGATCTGAGTATTGGGATGAAGTGGTCTCATTCAGGGTGCATGTGAAGAGTCTGACAGGAGCATTTCGGGTCATCTTGATATTGTAGATAGGGGAATTAGGGAAGCCGCATAAGAGAGAGTGGCAGTAGTAGAGTTGGAACGTGACGAAGACTTGAACGGCAGCTGGGGTAAGAAAATGGCAGATGCAAAGAAATGTTGCATAGATGGAGGCATGAAATCGCGCAGAGTTGAGATATATATGGTAAGAGACTTAGGGCTCAATGACACAAACATAAACTTCAAGATGAAAGCTGGAAAACAGTTGCTTAGGTATTGATTTGCATTTATCTACTAAGTTTATAAAATATGCTCAGCATCCATAAATATTGCTATATGTATTCCCGCAGCTGCTGCATGATAGAAAGTGCCAGTGGTGCAGCCCTAAACATTTCCCACGAATATCTTGGATGCTTTACTGGCACCAAAATACATGGGTACTAAATATACACCATGATGTCCAAAATACCATATCAGCACAGACATAGCACCAAATTATTGCATGTGGGAGGTGTGGATGTGGCTAGAGCGTCCCATGCAATGCGGTGGCAATTAGGGTTGTGATTGTTAAGTGACGGTAATTGCGGTACAGATGGTGAAGTTGTGTTGGTTGTGTGTCGATTGTGATACTGTGGATGTTGGTGATGGTGGCATGTGTCGTTTGGCAGTGGTTGTATGAGGGGAGTGTAGAAGCAGGTGTTGTGCAGCGATGTTCAAGATAACGACGGCTGTGGATCTTCTCAGAAATATCACCTTCGAAAGGAATCTTGCGTGCAGCAATTTCCCACATCACAACACCATAGCTGCAGAGACAACACCCCAACAAAAGCCATCAGATTACGGATACAACCATCTTCTGTTCATGAAAGACTAACTATCCTGTTATCCAACAACTAGCTAAACTTACACCCTATAAAACATGTATTTACATCAGGGGTGAGGGGAACCTATGGCTCATGGGCCAGGTGAGGGCCCAGTAATTATCATCGGCCCACAAAGAATATTTTCTATTATCATATGCATCTTAGCCGTTTGATTTCTTTGGAACTGCGACGTGAAATCGACGAGTTCGAGAAAAGCAAGAGGCAGGCATCGCATTAATGGAGTGAAGGCAAGCCCTCGTTTATTTAGTTTCACGTAACTATTGGACAATGCTAAGCTGTGTGTTAATGTGGCCCACCAAAGGCATCTTAAAGTCATTCAGCCCTTTTCAGTAAGAAAAAGTGGCAGCTTGAGGAGACCCTTATCCAGCAGTGGATTGATCATGGCTCATGATGACAGTTACGAAACCAAGTGTTTATCCAGCAAAGAAAAGCAGCTGCATCAGCAACCCGGTGGCACCTGTAGATGTCGCAGCTGGGAATGGGTTTGTAGTTGAGGTCGTTCTGTCTTTCAGGAGCGATGAATGCCATTGACTCTGAAGAGTTCCGGTTAGTGCTGCTGCGGCAGATGGACGTGCAGGTCCTGGCAAAGCCAAGATCGGAGAGCTGCTCAAGACAGCACGATGAAATATAGAAAATGGAACAGGACAGAGGAAGCAGGCATTAGGAACACGTACAAGTGTACATACATCCACCACTGTATTATTTTTTCCACGGAGATTCAGACTCTGTGACCGTCTCAAACCAACTTAACCACAATAGACCCCACTAAGCAGTTACAAATGAAGATGGGGCACTGCGTTCTCAAATGCCTGGCCACAATCATGCACACCTTGCTCTAGTACCAGTATCCAGCTGTGAAGCTGTTAGACATGCAACGATGCATCAACTCATTGATTTAAAGCAATACTTATGCTCATCTTACATATAACTCTAAGTTTAACCATAATTATTTTAAATGTACGTAAATTGTATGTACATTTATCATGTGAACTCTGAAACCAATAGCTTTTACATTCTCCCATTATCATCAACACCACCAATGGCCAATCCGCTGCTGGATTAAGGCCTCTCCAAGCTGCAACAATCCTTCAATGTAAATAAACCACCTGGTACCTGCACATGAACATTCTCTCATGGCAAAACGTTTCTGCAATGGAATCGCAACTCTGATATAACAATGGCAGTACAATGGACATCTGTGGAAAAGAGCTTTATAGCTCATCAGATTCCTCCAGTATAAATACATATTCTGATTCTGTATATTTCTGCTGAGTAAACCCCTGAGGCTATTTGTAGTTTTGACCAATAATGCTGGTCCAGTTTCATTACATGAATGTAATTTTAGATTATTGTATTTTTATTCTAATTTATTATTCATTTTTTCATTTCACGGTCATTTTCCATTTGCAAACATCACAAAGTAACCCCGACCCCTGAGGCTCCGGCACCTTGATGGTGTAGTGCTCATTGACCAGGAACTTATCCGTGCACACGTTGCGGTAGCACACTGGGCTCTTCATGCTGTGCATTCTGCAAAGAGATGGCAGGCAAGAGCAGGAACGTTCAATCAAAATTGCCACACCACACGGCCCCGTGACTCCGACTCATGACACTGTGTAACATCCGAAGAGGATGGGATGCTAAAAACAAAAAGGTGCAATTTCATTTTCGAGAGTGGACCACTGTGTTCCCGTGTCACGGTCAAAATTTTTAAGGACCCACATTAATTAGAAAAGAGCCCACAACGTCTATGATACTTTGTGCGTGTCTACACCCCCAGCTGTCTAACATCCACACCCTCTCCCCGCACTGAATGTTTCCACCGCAAGTGGTTATCGGAGAGATTTATTCAGATAAGTGACCTAACATTAGTAGCAGTGATGATTAATAATTGACTATCTTTGTATCAAATCGCGTGAGTACAATGCCTACGTATGTCGGAGACATTCCTCCACCGACACAGCCTGCGGGAGTTTAACTCTGGAAACCGCCTGATGATGCTGGATGCAATTACAAGTGAATCATCGTAAATAATTGTTAAATGCATGTGGATTGCACTTCAGCACACTATTGCTTCAGCACAGCAGCACACTGCTGTGCTGAAGCAATACAAAACTGACATTTGTTTTACGTGACAACTTATTCAGCCGTGTGATGTGCAGGAGAGTGTACAACACATTGTCATTGACCAAATAAATATATATTATGAACGTTAGCAATGGTCGCGAAAGTCTACGTGTTAAAAGTAGCATGTGATATCTCAACAAGTGTTGGCGAACGTCGGAATATATGGTCAAACAACCCCCATGACTAAGGCCTATAACATCCAGCAGTGAATTAACAAAGAATAGCAAATTATTACTTAATTTATACGATAAGCTAATATGTCAACGTAAGAGTCATGTGTAGTCCATCCAATTCATTTGCATAATTGCCACCAGGCTGCCATATATCACTGCGGGATAGCATATTTTCAAATTGACAATTTACATTTTAAAAAATCTAAACAGAAAAAAAATCATAATTCTTAATCCACCCAAGCCAGCTAATTCCTCCCATCTGTTCCGAGCATCCGCGGTTACATGTCCATGTGCCAAACAGGTGGACCCTAAAGGTGCAAGATGGGGAAAGGGTAGCAAGCCCCGGGAGATGGCCAGCACGCACCGGCAGAGGGCACGTGCCCCCTCCATGGCCATGTGAACCTTGCTGCGCCAGCTGAGAGGCTCCGCAGACTGCAGCAGCTCACGGAGGGTCCCACGGCTGCAGTACTCCATCACGATAGCAAAGAAATTCGCTGTAGCCAGGCAACGCATGCGGAGGAAGAGATACCGAGATACAAAACAAGCATACATATGTAAAAAAAAAATGCAGCCCAGCGACTGCTTGCTCACTCCACTGCCAGCGGAATGATTCCACCACTAGGGGAGGATCGAGAGCGCTGCCCTAGAGGATATTTGGCCTACTCTTCCATGCTGGCCAGACATCTTGGAAGAGGTGCATACATTTGGATTTAAAGCTTTCGTGACTGCAGGGATTCATATTCTTGGTTCTTTCGGTAAAGTCGCGTATTTTTATTATTTTATTGTTTCCCTTCTACATGACTATACCGAAAGAACCAAGAATATGAGGTGCATACACATACGTTGTTTTTTATTATAACGGTTGCCAAGCAGAGGCTCTGAAATGGCCAAAATGCCAAATGGCCAGCAACATACAGCACTCCTGACGGTGACAATAGCTAATATATTGAATTGAGAAAAAGTTATAAGAACTTAGGAAAATAGACAATGTGAGGGAATTCCAAAGTGGGTCTTGGTGAGTATATATTTGGGTCGCTATGCAAGAGAGTCAGCCCCATATAACTGGCCACCTTGGTCTCCCCACTGCTGTATTATATTGAATCATTGAATCTGCACCAATTAACTTGACCAGAGGCCTAGATCCAGTTAAGTATATCTATGTGTATTCCCTTCTAAGTGACTTTACCGAAAGAACCAAGAATATGAATCCCTGCAGTCACGAAAGCTTTAATTCAAAATATATCTATGTGGTTCACTAAAATTTACAATAGACACGTGGCCATGTGAAATGCCCAATATCAAGCAATAGCATAAATGTTTCTCTAATGAAAAGAATCAGCATGGTTGCTTACATGTTTGTTAAAAACAAATGCATTTTTAGTGGTTGGCAATCGACTAAAAGCCATTGTGAATAACGGTGGAGCAATATCAATCGTATCTGCTCTTGAACATTTGCAGCACCCTTACACCAGTAAGCATATTCACATGAAATATTTAGACGTGTTGAGACGGTGCACTCTGCTCGCAAACATCATTCCACGCTGTATAAAACTCCATAAACACGCCGTCTTTCTAAAAAACGTCACTCTCGCTCGCACGTACGCAAACTTACCCGAAGGGTCCACGATAATCCCATAGAGCCTGATAATATTCTCAGAGTCAAGTTCCCGCATCTTCTTAGCTTCATCCAACATGACATTCTTGGACCCCGCTGCATATGAACTGCTCACATATAAAAAGACAGATCTCCATGTCAGTGATGTCAGCACGAGCCTGTGAGTAAAACTGTTTCCCTGTGTGTCGTGCAATGCTTACTTAAGTACTTAAAGGCCTACCAAGGCCCACCAAGGCAATGCATGGCACAGGACGCAATGGTAGGGCTGGGGGGGGACAACACATCTCCACTCGGTGAGAATTTTAGGCCGAATCAACCTTAAAGAGACCCAGGTCAAGTGAAGACACCAATTGCCACAGCTGTACATAGCCATGAATGGAAACAGGCTTATTAAGACTATAGTGCAGCAATGTTCTCCAGTCACTCTCCCGGCATGCGTCTGTCAAAGCCCAAGTGGCCTTTTTAGACTAACTAACATAGAGAACAACAAATATGCAGTGTGGACAGAATATTTGTTACTCTCATAAAACTCCCATCACATAGCCCCACCTTTTGGTATTTGAAGGTTTGATAACTTGACACAGTAAAGCTGACCCTATTCCTGAACTGTTCTTATTGTTACTTTGAATATTATGTGCCCTCCAGTTACCAGGGTGAAAAGTGGGCTACAGTTTTGCCCAATCCTGACCAGCTGCTTCAAAAACGTAATAAACAAACTATTTGTTCATGATTTGCTGTCACAATTTGAGTTTATCCCACCATCATTCTGCCGTGGCATCAAGGCAAGATGGGAGGGCGAGTGGGGCCTAGCCGACCTAGTGGAATCGTCACTGAAACGTAATACTTACGCATCGACCATATCTTGCAATGGCATTCCACTAGGCCTGAATGCCATGCTAGGCTCTGTCCGACCCCCTCCTCCACACCCCACAATTCCACTGGTTCCGTGATCCTGTTAGGAAAATGTATTTGATTCGAAGAATCGAATTGCGATGCCAAGCTGGGAATTGTGCGAATCGACAAACTCTACCCACATGTGTCTCTTATGCACTCATAAGTCCAGCCCATCCCCAAATGAGCGCACTCACCTCATGTCAGATTTAAAATGCTTGATCCAAACGGGGAACTGGCAAAACTCGCCCTTGTACATGGAGTACTTGATGGTGGTGATGTCTTTTTTCCGGTTCACAATCTCATCCAGCTTTATCTCCCGGAGCTCTTCCACAGGGTGTCTAGACTTCCCTGTGTTAACAAGAAATAAACAGTCAGGAAGTGGAAAAACATGAAGGTTATCAAGTGGACTTTTCCCGCTTTCCTGTATTAGTCGTGTTTCGCGCATGTAGACACAATGCACATACTCCCACGTAATTCACTCAACACGCCACATACCGCAATGCAATATACACCACACGTTAAATCACACCCAATGGTGGGTGGAGTGGTGGCGCACTACACTATGACCAAGCGAGATGAGTTCCTTGGCCACGGCCAATCCGCACCGAGCAGTGTGGCAGAGTACGGTCAAGCAACCGCCTTGGGAGGCCTTAATCCAGCAGTGGATTTAACAAAGCCCTCTAATTTTTTTTTATTATTCCACCCAATCGTGTGGTTCCATGGTCAGGGTGCTCGACTCGTAAAACAGGAAGACTTTAATGATACACGGCACGCTAGAACACGTTCATTTTATTGTGGCTTACTGGAAAATACAACCCTAAGAGGTTTTATGGGTGAGATCGTGTAAATATGTGTCGTTAAAACCCGCCACAGCCAACCCTTACTAGTTGGCTGTGTCGGGTGGTGGTGGGTTTTAACGACACATTTATATATTTGTAGTGGAGTATTAAGGTGTGTTGTGGAAACTGCGCGATTGCATGATCACACAGACAGTGTGGGTTATCTTGGGTCAGCCTGTGGAGAAGGCGTAAACAGTGTCGGTCGTCTTCTTTGGCTCTTTCGGTAAAGTCACGTAGAATGAGAATAAAATAATAAATTGATAAAATAAAATAACACAATAATATTCTCACGACGTTTCGGCCACAACACAAGCGGCCTTCATCAGGTAAAGGGACGAGACTGTCTGGTAGGACACTCCAGCGCTGTCCTACCAGACAGTCTCGTCCCTTCACCTGATGAAGGCCGCTTGTGTTGTGGCCGAAACGTCGTGAGAATATTATTGTGTTATTTTATTAATTTATTATTTTATTCTCATTCTACGTGACTTTACCGAAAGAACCAAAGAAGATGAATCATTGCAGTCACGAAAGATTTAAATCGAAATTTAGTGTGGGTCGTGTTAGGACAGCCAAGTGCAAAGGCTGGGATGATGAGGTAAAGGTTGGGCCAATTAAGCCAGAGGATCAGCAACGGCGGTGATTGGCTGTGGCTGTTGTCAAGGGCGAGGAGGCGTCGAGATGTCTGGAGAAAGGCAGGTGTTTGAGGACGCGAAGCGTGCGGAGGCACGCGGGCCAATTAATTAGCGATAATGAGAATAGGGATACATTGGGGGGAGACACACAGAGAGGGGGAGTTGGGAGCTGGACGAGGAAGACGCTGTGTGCGGAGTGTGCGAAGTCGCTGTGTGGGAAGACGCTGTGTGCGGAGTTGCTGAACGGGGAGTCGCTGAGTGCGAAGCAAGTGAGGTGATAGTGGGGAGACAAAGGTGGTGAGCGAGACTTGAGCGGAGCACGGCGAGTGAGCCGTGGTGACCAGGATGCTGTGGAGTGTGGAGGACATGTTGAATGTTGTAAATAAAGCGGTGTTCGAAGAAAGACAGAAGTTGTCCGCGTAAAGTCGACCACTACATATTCACGCGATCTAAGCTAAAAAAATTGTTATGTATGAAATTGGTCGCGAAAGCCTTTGTGTTAAACTGGAAAATACAAGGTGATCCGTTTATAGATACTCCACTTAAATAATAGGGAAAAGATTATACATAGCACCGCATCTTATTTCAAAGCCTCTCCACATCTCTCACCCATCTAAATACACTTTGTTATTTTAAGACTTTCCCCTGTAAGCCAAGGAGTCATTGCTTGACAATACTGTGGGGAAGAAAATAAGATGGTGATTTGAAATCAAATGTGGTCTCTATAAAAAAAGGCCATTGAAATCAATTACTCATGACCAACCACAAACTTGATAAACGGCCAATTGCTCCTTTGTACAAAAAGGCACTTTGACCCGACTGTTATGGACCCTTCTGTTGTAGCTCAGCTGTAGCATCCTCACCGAGATCCTTGGCAATGTTTAAGATGGTGCTGATTGTTTTTTTCATTTCTTCCTGCTGGGATTCGCTGGCCCTGCCCGTCTCTGTGAGCACAGCTGAAATAGTGCAAACCAAGGACAGAAGAGAACAGGCCAACAAATCAATGGACGGAAATACTGTACTGTAAACCAACAACAAAATATGCACGACATGAAGTAAAACAAACGAGCATTGCCTTAGGTTGTTTAATATTTGTATTTTGCAGAAATTTCAGGCTATAGATCTTAAAATTAACCTATGTGAAAAACTAATTCATAGAGATACTGCGCTGTGAAAGAGGTAAAGCTACACATTTTCATGGAGGCTCAACCAGGATACATGGCGAGCTGGCAGGCCCTAACGTCCCTCGGCCCCACTCACTTATATGGAGCCACACCGACTGAACCGCCCCATGGCTTTGCTCTTTCTGACGTTGGCCCCGCATGATGCTCATGAGCGCATGCGAAGTCTACGTCTCCGCAATCCCCCGCCACCAGTGCAGTGCGCCTTTCCAAAACCGGCACCGTCTTGGGCCAAATCAAGTCGTTTTGTCATTTTATAAAAAGGTGATGGTTCTCCAATTTGGTGGCAGGATGGCAAAGTGGTAACACTTGTGCCTCACAGCAAAGAGTTATTGGGTTAAATTACAGACTCAGAATACAAGTACGTGAGAGTGTGTGTGCAAGTGTGTATATTCTGCCCCTGTTTTGTATTTCCTCCAGGTTTACCAGTTTCCTTCTATAGCTAAAAAAAACCCGCTCTGTAACTGGTATTGTACAAATATCCGAGTGCTGAAACTGTACCTGCAAACTACTCGATTGGGATTACACATAGCAACATTGTCCCCTACCATGAAACACTTGGCAGGGCCCTCCTGAGAAAGAGTTGAGGTTCATCGAGGCAGATGAACCATTGGAAACATTCCTTCATCCACCGTTTACTTTATTGCAACTAACAGCTGCAGTGCCAGATTATCCTAGTAGCAAAAGTAGCATATGCTACGGGCCCCGCACTTTCAAGGGCCTGCGCTAAATGCTTTCAAGCTATCAATTCCGGTTCAGTGATTCTGCACTTGCTCTATTACTATAGTACTATACTGCCATCAACTTTTATGAACGACTGGGTGTTTAAGGTTAGCGATTTGTCATATTATCTGGCTGTATAGCAAATTATAAAAATACAATTACTTTACTAGGTATGTTCAAATTTTGTGTTTTAATATTTACGTGTTTTTTTTTATTTAGGGCCCCTTTATAACATATGCTACAGGCCCCGCACTCGCTTAATCCGGCACTGAACAGCTGTAAAATAGCTTCATAAGACTGGAAGTTAGCTAGCAGGTGCGTGGTGGGGTAAACCAATGAGTAATGTTTCATAGTTGGCATACTTCTTCCTAGAGTTGAGAAGCAGTGGGTTGAGTGCTTTGTGCAGGTCCTCATAGGTAATCAAGTTCTGACCTTCCCTTTCACATACAAATGCAATGCTTACTTTAGTTCAAAGCGTTTCTACATAGGTGGACATTTATGTAATGCCACAAGTGGACACTTCATTCAATATTACTCAATTGAAAAAGTGCAAAAACAAAATGCTGTCCTTAAGACTCATGTGTATTAAAACAGGGCACCAATAACTTCTACTGCCATGAAAGCAAGGCATATTCTGCTAAAGGCACACATACAGAATTCAGTTCCCTTTGGTTATGGTGTAATGGATACCCACGCTGAAAAAACAGCAGTCCAGGCAGGACCGGTTCAATGCCTTACTCCGGCATGGCAGTGTTAAAGATATGCAAGAGCCTTAAAATGCTCCCACCTATTTCCAGCCAGCAGTATAAATGGGAAAAGCACAGGATAGTTTATTTACAGGTCACGTGTGGTGGAGTAAAGTGTGGGTACTCCCACCTCTTAAAAGACACCTGGCCAGTGTAGAAGAGTGGGGGGCCAAAATACCCTCCAGATAAAGCGGTTCCCAAAACTTTAGATTGTGCGGACCCCTTTTTAGCCTCCAAACTATTTCGCAGACCACCACACTCCACTGGTTATTTGAAATTGCAGATTTCCTTGAAGAGGATATCTATTTATATATTTATTTATTTATGCTGACCCCCTGTGTTTGCCTCACGGAGCGCCAGGGATCCGCAGACCACAGGTTGGGAACCGCTGCTCTAGAGCAGGGGTCCGCGACCAAAATAACAAGTATTTTTTTTCGAATTTGGTTAAAAAAAACCTCAATATTTCAAGAGGCTCAATGCATGTGAATACGAGCCGGTTCTTTATAACTAACGTCATGAAGCAGTCCTTAAAGTGCCGCATGCGGCTCTGAAGCCACGGGTTGCAAACCCCTGCTCTAGAGGATTTTTCTAGAGGTCCCTATCATGGAGGCCCTTCCACCAGCAGCGGTGTGAACACGCAATTGCATGGCTGCATCTTTACTTTTAAAGGTTATACCCAAGGGTTTGAAATTTAAATATAATATTGGAATTGCATGGACAGAAAGACACATAAGAGGCCAGGAAAAGTGGAGATGGAGCAAAGTTACGTGGAAGATAACTTAGGATTAAAATGCAGTTGCCCAGGTCTTCATCAATGAGAACAGTAGGTGATAAAGAATTGTCACAAAAAACATGTTTGCATGTGGATCCAAATCGCTCAAATAGGTATGCCGTAAACTTCCTATTTTGTAAAATAATGCCCTATCAAAATAAATAATGACCAAATTGCACTTTCCATATCCTTGCTAGTCAATGTATACTGGATAAAGAAAATACTCTGAACATTATATTTGAACTAAACTTGTGCAATGGAGCCAAAATTAAAGTTCTAGTTGTGATCCTTGTGTGGTGCTGATCCAAGCCTCACATAAGAATATAAAGCATATGGTATACAGAGATTAATTCATAATTTGAAACCTACCGTTCAGTATAAGCCGTGTGAGGTCCTCACGGAAGTCCTTCGTGGCGTCCATGATATTCTGTGGGCATATGTAGGTATGAGTCCTGTCCAGCATGTTGATGTCCTGCAGGGTGATCATGGGAATGATGTCGTTGAGCCGCTCGTGGAAGAGTTCGAAGTTCTCCTGGGCATCGCTACTCTTCATGAATTTCTTAATGGCCCCGTAATTCTCATACTTCTCGATGTATTCCTTGATCTGCACGATGACCTCGATGAGCTGTACGAAAGCATTGCTACGGGCCCTGCAGGGCATCTTGTCAGGGTGTCTGGATTTGCTGGAGGCGCCCTCAGACGAGGCCACATGCTCGGCCTTCTCCTTCCTTTGGAGGTAGTCTATGACCATCTTCACCCTGTCCACCAACCTCTGACATTGGTATCTGTTGGACTTTACTTGCTGGAATGTTTTGTACAGCTCCTCTGCTACCGAGAAGACCTTTGATACAATTTCTGCAGGAGAATCAAGTGCAAAAACAATTGCACAGGCGTGCATGAATACACACAAGTACTTTATCACGCAACAGCACAAGTGGATACACCAAAGGCAGCATTTTTATGTTATGCACTTTGCTTGAAAACTTACTCGTCAATTATTAAGGCTTCCATATTTTACAAGAACGAAACTAAATATTACAATATGCACGTATGCTCAATATTTATCAGAATTTATAAGCACTGTACAGTGCTGTACAAATGCTCACTTGATATCCTATTGTTCTACGTGGATATAAATGCATGTTTTAATGCGTAAATATAAAAAAAACAATTCACTGGGATAGAATGTGTGTGTGCAAATATGCTTCTTATTTGAAAGCCAACAGTAATTGTGTCCGATAAGCCAGTTCTAGCATTCTTAGCAAAAATTCAGATAAAAATACCTATCATAAATTAGGGACAGGGTTAGTGTTTGCTTTTCACTTCGAGCCATAGACCACTTTTCGATTTAAAGCTTTCGTGACTGCAGGGATTCATGTTCTTGGTTCTTTTGGTAAAGTCACGTAGAATGGAAATAATAAAAATATAAAATATTAACATTCTCACGTTTCGATTGCAACACAAGCAATCATCATCAGGTATTGTATTATTTCCCTTCTACGTGACTTTACCGAAAGAACCAATAACATAGACCACTTGGAATGTTATTCGGCATTTCTCCAAACTTCAAGACTTGAACGGAAACCCACACGCTTCCTCATTAGTGTGTGTTTCAACTTGTTTTCCTCTAAGCAAACAAGTGTATGAGCCATACTGAAAAGAGGATGTAAGCGTCCTGCATGACGAAGCCAGGCATTTAATGTTAACATGAGTATCTTTAACAGCCTCCGATTCGGTTTATGCGGAGTTTATTTTGGGTTAGACCACTGTGGTGTACAGCGGCATTGTTTAAATTATAATCCGTCCACCACCCGACACAGACAATCAAGTCAAGTTGGCACATCATGGGCAAATGTGGACGTTCTCCCCGTGGCCGCATGGATTTTTCTCAGGGTCCTCCGGTGTTTCCCTCCACAATTAGAAACATGTGTTTATAATATTTTCGCTGTTTCATATACCTGTCAACCCCTTATCAGTGCCCTACCTTATTACAGACAAATTCAGACCTTGTTGGTCACCCCATGCCCTTATAAATCTCAACGTTCATCCCACAAGGTCGCATCACAAGAGAGAAACAAATAGACAAACACATGTTGCCCGTATTGAAGCGGTTGTACGCCGTATGGGCCTGAAAACTCATTTTCCCTGTACAAGAATTACGGGTAAACTCTATGGGTTGACAGGTATGCTGATATAATTTTCCATATGATAGACCACTTAGTTGAGCTATTTGTGGCCAGGTCGCTTATGAAAAGTAGCTATATAGCTCAGTGGGCCTTACCTGGTAAACAAAAATAGTTTAATAATAGTTTGTGTAAATATGCCAACTGATTTGGTTTATTAGAAAATCTGAAGGTATGTTGAAAAGGACGCAACATTTTGGACTTTTTTTAGATGACGTTTCACTGGAGATTACATGCAGCATCAGCAGGTGTTAGCCAAATTACATGTCTTATTTGTCCATGCGATATTGATTCGCTCTGTTGGGTTATGGAGGATTATAGTAGGAAAAAATGGCATACCTACACAATCTAACCCCAAATAAACTCACTATAAACCAAAATATTGGTCGTTAAAGCTTATAACAATAATATCCGATTTTAACAAATCAGTCTGTTGAGTTATCATAATAAGTTCTGAAAAGGGCATTGGATACCACTGTAGGTCAAACGGATGTATGGAATTTAATCTTACAATATTTCCCCACATGGAAAATGTCCTAATCTCTGCTAATTTCCTGCACGCATGGCCAAAGCAATATTTGTGCAAAACGCATAGCTATGCTAGAGAGCAGGCATTTACCATCTGTTTAGCAATCGGACATTTTCTGAAATGTCCGCTTGAGTTCAACATACATACATTGCTCACCCTTTTCCTGAAAATAACGCTTTTCAAATGTTTTTTTGTTTTGAAATTTTTTCCCTGCACAGTCAACATAAAACAAACTGCAGATGACCCCTAAGGATATTAGCCAGCTGTATGCCAGACAGCAAAAGCCAGTGTTATCACTCATGATTATTCACATAAGGGTTACATGATCCGCAGGGCTCAAAAATAGTCATGCATCGCTAAAATAGCACTAATAAAATAACGTTCACAACATGGATAGCATTCATAAACACGTTTAACATTCATAATATGAATCAATCAATCATGTTATTTAAATTGTGAATATCTCATCAGACATTCATTCATGTTCATTCCGGTTATGAATGTCTGGTCAACTATGCACAGGCAGAGGGGGCTCTGCAAAACTCACGTCGGGGCAGTTGTTCTCAACCGCGTTATTGTCCACCACTTGTGTGGCCCATGATTTGTGAATTGTTAGCACATTTTCATCGCACCAGCTGACGTATTAAACGTGAAGTGCAAGAGACGCGTTTAAGACGTAGGCTTTTCGTGACCAATATTATCCATAAGGGGCTTTTTTTGTGGGGTTAGGTTATTATTTAAGATTATTTAAGACCGAAACAGGAGGATTTCTCCACAATTCTGGCTGTCGCCTGATGAGGCTGGTTGTAATTACCGGCGAAACGTCGTACCCGAATTGTAAATATTGTCGGTTTACTCTCCAACACGCCCGTGTGCTGAACGATAAACTAATTGGCATGTTTTGTTTACGTGACAAGCTTGATAAATTGGCTGTGTCGGGTGGTGGTGGGTTTAACGATACATTTATAATTATGCAATCTAACAAAAAAAACCTCGATTGTGCAATAAACACAGCAGAAACGCTGTATTATTTTCCAGCACTTATGTGCAAAGCACTGTATAGTACAGTTTATGTATTACGTATGTACGTGCATGTTTTATTATGCACCCATACGCAACAACACAATAGTGTGCTGTGTATCTGGCGATATTCATGTTAACCCAGTAGGATAAGAGGGTATGGTATACATTGCAAGCTACAGTTAAATCAGTAAAGCAACGCTATACTGCAACGTGTTTGACAATGACCCTTCTTTATAGCAAGGGGGCATTGCCCGAAACGTGAGCTATGATATTTTAAATATTTTACTGTAAAGCCAGAATGTTATTAACGAATGTATTAAGTTTGTATGATTTGTACTTGAATGCCAGTGCAAGCATCACCACCAAATACAGTACCAATCAAGTGTTTACCATCTTCCACAGGGCAGGATGCTGTGCATTCAGCAACATATCATGTGTTACGAATCCTCGACTGCAGTCTTATCATTGAAACAGAACAAGTGTATGGTCACGAATGGCAGTATGCCGCATCTGACCCGCCCATACTGAACATCTGTGAAAAAAGATCGGATTTCTCCAGTCTAAATATTCAGATAAACATTCTGATGCAGGGAACATTCGTGCTGTATTTACCCCGTTCACACGTACCATATAATCACAAGCTCAATACAGTGCCGTGCATGCTGTTTAATGTCAGTGCAACAATCCCACATTGCAAATGTTGAACATTCTCTGCACCGTCCAGCGTGGCAAGCTATGCTTAAGCAACCTCTCCACGACCAGCATGGAGTGGGGGAGATCCTCAATCCTGTTGGATTGACAACAGGGCTGTACATGTCCATGAGAGTTAATGTCAGTGTACTGCATAGTGGTATGCGGTGCTATCCTTGTGCGCACCTTGCACTGTCACACAATCTTGGTAGTTGCCTGTCCCGTCACGAATGATTGATACGTTTACAGTCATGACCACGCGCAAATCTAGACTTCACACATTAAATACAAACCGCAGGCTGAACAAAGACAAATATCCCCCCCGTACAGCCTTAACAGACGGCTGGGACAAGTGCTGTGAAGGAGTAGCAACCTACGAGGGACGGCACGGCACTTGCTGGACATCTGTGAGAAAGAGCTTCGTCGCTCATCAGATTCCTCCAGTCTAAAAACAATGATTCTGACCACGAGAGAGTGGGTGGCCAAGGCCACGCACAGTCACAGCAGCCACCTCTGCAGGGACAAAGGGAATACAACAGCCAGCCAGAGAGAAACCTGCACCCAAGATGTGACCTTAATTGAATTGGGGAAAAAAAATAAAACACCCCGTCACATTTGTCCACAACACTACCCTAAAAAGGAAAAAATGTATATACAAGGAAAATAGTTTTTTTTATATATAAAATAGGCAACGTTTTAATATACTGTACTAATGATATATTAGTGGTATGCAACCATACCCGTCAACCCCTTATTACAGACCAAATTTAGAACGTATTGGTCACCCCGTGCCCTTCTAAATCTCAACGTTCATCCTACAAAGTCCCATCACAAGGGAGAAACGCAATCAAATAGACAAAACATTGTTTTTGCCCGTATTGAAACGGCTGTACGCCGTATGGACCTGACAAACTAAATTTCCCCGGACAAGAATTCGGGCTAAACCGTGTGGGTTGACAGACAGGTGCAACGTTTCTCACCATGACCCTTGACACCAGTTTACTGTCATGTGAAGAAACGTCATTGCCCGAAATGTCGTCTATTTTCTCGTTTAGAATGTTGGGCCACAGGCTCACACTGAATGAAATATTGAGAGGTGTTTTTGTTCATGTGCCTGTGCAGTATAACCAAACGATTTGCACCCTTTATCGGTTTTAAAATAGAAAACTCCAATGCTTATAATCGCACATTTGTTCCTCAAACCACTGCTGGATGAGGGCTTCTCCCCCACGTTGCGCCGAGGAGTGGTGGGGGTTATTTGACCATACTTCACCACGCTGGCAGCGTGCAAGTGGAGTTTTGTGGAGAGCACACAGCCTATAGCACCTGGGGGTTTATGCGTGGCAGCTGCACATCAGGGACGTGCGTTCAGGGGAGGCAGAGCCTCACCTGTCATGCTCCAGTGAAAATAGCTGTTACGAAAAGTAAAATAATAATCAAATGAAATAAATATAAAGATTTTTCCACTGATCTGTGTTATAAATGTCATTTCTGTACGATTCCAATCATTTTTAAAGTCAAAATCGCCAAATTTGCGGAGCTCCGCTGCAAATACAGGAGGAGACGAGAGGTGAGGCAGCGGCAAGCTCAGCCTCCCCTGTGATTGCGCAACCCCTCAGTAACTGGATGGAGCGCGGGCAATAAGCACGTGCCTGTTACTATCTCAGTATGTCACCAATGTAGTGTTTGTAGACCCCTTCATTTCATGTCCTCGCCTTATCATACTCCAGGTCACTTATTTCACGTACGTGTATAAAGATATTTAGGCTCGCTGGTCTCGTCGTGAAACTGAAATGAAAATGCACCAGGGGAGGCAGCTACAGTGAGGGAAAAAAGTATTTGATCCCCTGCTGATTTTGTACGTTGGCCCACTGACAAAGAAATTATCAGTCTATAATTTTAATGGTAGGTTTATTTGAACAGTGAGAGACAGAAGAACAAAAACATCCAGAAAAATGCATGTCAAAAATGTTATAAATTGATTTGCATTTTAATGAGGGAAATAAGTATTTGACCCCCTCTCAATCAGAAAGATTTCTGGCTCCCAGGTGTTTTTTTTATACAGGTAACAAGCTGAGATTAGGAGCAATCAAAAAATCAGATTCCAAACTCTCCACCATGGCCAAGACCAAAGAGCTCTCCAAGGATGTCAGGGACAAGATTGTAGACCTACACAAGGCTGGAATGGGCTACACGACCATTGCCAAGCAGCTTGGTGAGAAGGTGACAACAGTTGGTGCGATTATTCGCAAATGGAAGAAACGCAAAAGAACTGTTAATCTCCTTCGGCCTGGGGCTTCATGCAAGATCTCACCTCGTGGAGTTGCAATAATCATGAGAACGGTGAGGAATCAGCCCAGAACTACACCGGAGGATCTTGTCAATGATCTCAAGGCAGCTGGGACCATAGTCACCAAGAAAACAATTGGTAACACACTACACCGTGAAGGACTGAAATCCTGCAGCGCCCGCAAGGTCCCCCTGCTCAAGAAAGCACATATACATGCCCGTCTGAAGTTTGCCAATGAACATCTGAATGATTCAGAGGACAACTGGGTGAAAGTGTTGTGGTCAGATGAGACCAAAATGGAGCTCTTTGGCATCAACTCAACTTGCCGTGTTTGGAGGAAGAGGAATGCTACCTATGACCCCAAGAACACCATCCCCACCGTCAAACATGGAGGTGGAAACATTATGCTTTGGGGGTGTTTTTCTGCTAAGGGGACAGGACAACTTCACCGCAACAAATGGACGATGGACGGGGCCATGTACCGTCAAATCTTGGGTGAGAACCTCCTTCCCTCAGCCAGGGCATTGAAAATTGGTCGTGGATGGGTATTCCAGCATGACAATGACCCAAAACACACGGCCAAGGCAAAAAAGGAGTGGCTCATGAAGAAGCACATTAAGGTCCTGGAGTGGCCTAGCCAGTCTCCAGACCTTAATCCCATAGAAAATCTGTGGAGGGAGCTGAAGGTTCGAGTTGCCAAACGTCAGCCTCGAAACCTTAATGACTTGGAAAAGATCTGCAAAGAGGAGTGGGACAAAATCCCTCCTGAGATGTGTGCAAACCTGGTGGCCAACTACAAGAAACGTCTGACCTCTGTGATTGCCAACAAGTCATGTTTTGCAGAGGGGTCAAATACTTATTTCCCTCATTAAAATGCAAATCAATTTATAACTTTTCTGACATGCGTTTTTCTGGATTTTTGTTGTTATTCTGTCTCTCACTGTTCAAATAAACCTACCATGAAAATTATAGACTGATCATTTGTCAGTGGGCAAACATATAAAAAAATCAGCAGGGGATCAAATACTTTTTTTCCCTCACTGTATCACATCTGCCTCACTTAGGGGGACGTGTCTAACACGCCCCCCTCCGTGAGGCCACGCCCCCCTCTGTGAGGCCACGCCCCCCTCAATGTGTGAATCTGGCTCTGACAATAGCCAGTGCCTCCCTAGCCATTGACCTCAACGCACGTCACTGATCCACATCCAGGTTATCCAAACCAGCCTCAAAACCCGCTTAAGCTTCCGCGACATCAGACAGAATCAGATTGCTTATTTACACTCTGAGAAATCCGATGAGCTATAAAGCTCTTTTTTTCATAGATGTCCAGTAACGGCACGGGGTCAGAACGTTACAATACCAAAAACACGATAGGAGTGCACACAAACACAAAGTATACGAAAAGTAAACAAATTACTTAAATAAATATATAAATAAAACTAAACTACGTTTTTTTTATCTTACCACGCCGGGTGTTCCATATGGGACACATTGACACGCTGAGGACAAAAAAAAACTATGCGCAATGTACATTCATATCCCATAATGTTTACCCAGTATTCTTGTACTGGGAAATTGAGTTTCGAGGTCCGTACGGTGTGCAGACGTTTCAATAAGGGCACAAACGTTTTTGTTTGTGTCTATTTGTGTGCGTTTCTCCCTTGTGATGGGACTTTGTAGGATGAACGTTGAGATTTATAAGGGGGCACACGGGGCGACCATTAAGGTCCGAATTGGTCTGTAATGTAATAAGGTAAGGGCACCGACAAAGGGGTTAACAGGTTTGGTATCCACAAATATCAACATTGGTAGTAGCTTAACATTTCGAACACATTAGCCACATCCACCCCACCACCAACCAACGCCTTCAACCTGCGACGTCCACGTGTGTTGACACGGCCACTACAAAACGCGCTCCGGACAAAAGTAAGACGCGTAACCCAGGTGCCGATAAAGTTCCACAATATTCTCGCCTGCTTTTGTCTTTTGAGTAAATTTTTTTTGTTTAATTGGGCGGGAGGGAGTAGGAGGAAGAAAAAAAAAGACGTCAAGTCTGGCGATTTCCCCCCCCTCCTCCACCACCACCCACGAGGAGTAGGCGCGGGACGCGAAGCGCGCTTCGAGGCGTTGCGCAAGCCGCGAACAGCTCAAAGCGGCCCACCACCACCACTTCGTGGCGTCGCCCTACAGTGCACGGCAGACTTCCAACATCACCACGAATCGTCGTCGTCGTCGTGGGTCACCAAGCCGTGGGTGCGTTTAAGGCACCGCAGTATGCGCCAAATTTGTTAGCCGAGCAACCGATGTTTCTCTTGCACAAGTGTTTTACTCACCGATAGCATCCATTGCAATGCTGCCGCCGGCTGACGAAACGAACGCTTGGTGAAGAGAGCGGGGGGGGGGGAGAGGCGAATAAGATGCTGGTAATGTTTAACGCTAAAGTACAAACTCGACACGCGCTCTATTTTCTTGTTCTTTAATCGATCTTCTGCCGTATGGAACAACAACCAGACAACCTTGTGTCCCGTATAGGCCACACACAAGGCTGCCGGGGCAAGTAACCCGTAGCGAGACGCTGCTGCTGCTGCTACTGCTGCTGTGCGGCACGTTCACACGACCCCGAGACGCCCAGTGAGTTCTTCCAGAACCCAGTGCAAACACCATCGTTCTTATAAGGGAATTAACAGCCTTGCAAACTCCTCCCCTCTGACTGCGTCTCCTCCCCGCACAACCATTCACCCTTCACACTCCTCCTCCTCTTCCCCATGCAGGAATTCATCCCCACCCCCTCACGTCTCCTCCCTTCCCCCTCCTTGTGCAGGCACTAAGGGGCCGTCCATGAATGACGTCACGCGAGTTTGGACGATTTTTGACCCCCACCCTCGTCACACGGCGTCACAAAAAGTCAGAACCCCCCCCTCAAAAATGACGTCACAAAGCTCTGCCCGACCCCCCCCCCCCAAAAAAAAACCATGCTTCAATTCGCTTTAAACTATTGTCATTGTAGTGCGTATTTAATGTGCCGCTGCACTCTGAAGTTGTAGGAGAAAACATTTATTTTAAAAAGTATATTTAATTAAGTAGAACGTGTTGTCTATATTTATTTAAAGTTGCGCATTTTGATGTGACGTCACATTTCTCAAACCCCCCCCCGTCACAAATGTCTGACCCCCCCCCCAGATGCGTGACGTCATTTATGGACGGCCCCTAATGAACCCTCCTCCTCACTCCGACTCCCTTGTTTTCATCCTCCCTCCCTGGGAGGTATTCTCCCTCCTCACTCCTCATCACTCCTCCCTGTGAAGCATTAATTCTCCTCCCTCTCCGTACATGATGTATTCCTCCTCCTCATTCCTCCTCCTCCCTGTGAAGCATTAATTCTCCTCCCTCTCCGTACATGATGTATTCCTCCTCCTCATTCCTTCTCCTCCCTCTCCGTACATGATGTATTCCTCCTCCTCATTCCTCCTCCTCCCTGTGAAGCATTAATTCTCCTCCCTCTCCGTACATGATGTATTCCTCATCCTCCTCACTCCTCCTTCTCACTGCTTTCCTCTACGGGTCCAGCCAGTGGTTTGGGTTTTCCGAGCAACATTTAGTTGAAGCGACTTAGCCAGTCATCATGGAATGTTGGCATGTTTACTGGGTGCCGACAAAACCAGGCAACATGCCGGGACATACGATGCAGATGTTAATTCTGTATTAATGACCCTCGAAAATACAGGGGGGGGTGGGGTTTGGGGGGTTACATCGCGTAAATATAAATGTGTCGTTAAACCCGCCACCACCCGACACAGCCAATTAGTAAAGGAGTTGTCACGTAAACAGAACGTGAACAGGAGGAATTCTCCACAAATCTGGCTGCCGCCTGATGATGCCAGTTGTAATTACTGGCGAAACGTCGTACTCAGAGTGCAAATGTTGTGGATTTGCTCTCCAACACACCGGTGTGATGTGCTAGTAACGAATTGGCATCTTCTGTTTAAGTGACAAACCTTACTGATTGGCTGTGGCGGGTTTAACGGCATATTTATATATACGCGATCGAACTAAAAAAAAACCTGTATTATGGATATTTTTTCGCGAAAGCCTACGTGTTAAACTGATTAATGACCCTGTTTTATCCATGCACAGTGGTATATGCAGTAGTGTAGTATACGATCACATTGTCGAGTTACATTTTGACTTTAGAATTGTATATCTAGGAACCTCTTCCAACCTCAAACGTCCTTAATGCCAGCAACGTGCAAGTCGTTTGGTTCGTCTTGCAGCCGTGACAGCATCACGACAGTAATCCTACAGCCTTTGAAACTTCAGTATAAAATCCTTTCCAAGCACCACTGATACTGCAGTGTGCACAGACGATGGTCGAACACATGACGGAAATAGGTATTGGATGTATACCTTAAGTCTCTTACTATGTTGACGAACTGTTTGTGTATTGCAATATATCTGGTCAAATCACCTGGATTGTGCCCGATCTCGTCAGATGTTCTGAAGCTGTGGCAGGGTTGAAGTCAATTGGGGGATAGCGTTTCAGCACTGGACAGTTGAACAATCTCCATTGCTCCGTCGTCAATGCCATCTAACAAAAAAAAAACAATTCGCACCGACGAGCGTCGTTGAAGTTATGGGCAAATACACAGTGGATTGACAAACGGATCGTGCATGTACCTATATGTGTGGTGTACGGTGACTATCTTGCTGTGTAATGAATACCGGACCAGGACAGATATGAGTCACCAGTCGGTTTGACCGACGTGTTCATTATGTGAGTTTGTATAATGGCCTGACACAAGATATGCCTGCTCGGAAGATTGATCAATTATGCACTCTATTGTAGACTACAAGGATAGTATACTATAAAAAAAGGTACCGTATACAACACTGACATGAACGGTACCTGTACAGCCCTGCTTAGATGGAGGCATCTCGTCATCAAGAGTTAGTTCATCTAACTATTCTTCACCACGCTGGTCCGTGCGGGTTGGCAAAGGAAGGGACATACATTTGGAATCATAGAAGTACAGTTCAACAATGGATTGTATCGTACGACCTGTTATGCCAATACGAAGAATATACAGCATCACAGTTTTTATATAGTACTACAGTGCTGTGCTATGTGTACAGTACTTATACTGCAGTGATATGTGAAAAATAATACTGTAGAGTAACAGCAATTTAAGTAACATAGTTTGTTAATACTGTACATTTTTAGCTAAATAAAGTTTGCATTACAATACAGCGGTGAGGTGTATACTGGCTTCGTAATACAAGGGACAGTGAACTATCTCAAATGCCCTCACTATACACAATATCTACCGACACGTACAACTCAACCACACACACACTCGAACTGGGAACACATTCTACTTCATTACTGTAGAGGGAAGTTTAATCAATACTCGATTGTGGCCATGCAACCCAAACTATGGACCATTTCGTAAACAGCTGTAGTCGATGCTCCTTCAACGGAAGAATGGAAAAACGACACAACACTCTCTCTTTTGAAGCCCTCTTCGTCGTGGTCAACAGCTGACCTCCCGACATTGGCATTTAGCCTCCCGAACATACTGATGGCATACTCAAAAAATAGAAGCGAAACTTTGGTTGGGGTAATGCGTCAATGAATCCATGTGCTTGGATTTCACATTGCGGAGTTTCCCCGATGTCTCTCTTTAGACCTGTGTGCCCGCGCCGTGATTTGTGCGCGAATAATAAATAAATCCGTGGCTTCGTCTCTGGGACCCAGTGGGGTTTCCCCGAAATTAACTCAACAGTGAGGTCATCATCAATAATGTAGCCATTGCAGTCAGAGGGAATTTCCTGTCCGATGCAGAAGCATGTCAGTGCGCCCCAAGTGGACAAGTGGACTTGTTTACTAAAAGTACACTACGGTAATTATTGAGCATCGTCGTCGTCGAGCATATAAGATAAATAAACAGATGATATGCCTCCTTAACGTATTCGTCTCTCCACACAAACTTTTTTTTATTACATAACCCATCAGCCGCGTACACTGCCTTCTGGGAGTGCATATCAACAGCATTGTTTCAAGACAAGTAAACTCTAGACCTGCTCATAAGTTTATTCGGTAAAGTCACGTATGTAGAAATACAATAAAATTATATTAAAACAAAAAAACCCACGAAATTTAACACTCCTCTGAAATTCGTGGTCCGCCAGGAAGTGTCTGTGTTGTTGGCCTGACTGGATGTGCTTCACATGTTTTTTTCAGGTTTGTTGAATTCTCGTCTCTCATCTTTTTGTTGTATTTACCTCCGTGATTTGTTCTTGACACCTGAAGATCGCTTGCGTTGTGATCGAAACGTCGTGATTGTTTGTTTTAATATAATTTTTATTGTATTTCTACATACGTGACTTTACCGAAAAAAACCAATGAGTAATTTTATGCAGTCACGCAAGCTTTAATACTCTAAACTCTAGACCTGTTTCGTCAGTGTCTCATCAGTCAGGCTTGCTTGAATCAATGCTGAACTGCCGATCTGACAGGCAAGGACCCTCCCCTGTACACGTAATGTATCATAAGAGGCTAGCATTGCCACGTGAATATCCCCAAACCAACTCGCTGGTTTATGGGAAATCATCACTATAAAATACGCCCGGGGGGGCGTCCACCCTGGAGATGGAATATTGCTGATGCGCAGTTAATACAGTGGCATCTCAGGGCCGTGAGATGGCGTTGGTATGGAGAGACGTAAATACCATCGGCATTGATGAGGGTGATCTAACAATGTTATGGATGATAGTGATGGAGATGGGTGTGAATGTTATGGTGTTAGTGATGCTATTGGTGGAGATGATGATCGTGATGACAGTGATTATGGTTGGGCACATTCCTTGATTGGCAGAAATTCAATTACTGTATTCACTGCTGGATGGCAGGTAGTGGTACCGAATAATTACGTCACGACTCTCTTTACCTGCAGCTTTTTCACAGGTAATAGCAACCAACTGAATTATAGAAGCGGAAGTGCTATTATCCATGACTGACCAATAGGATCCACATAGAGTGCCACCATATCACGGCAGAATAATTATCTCGAAATGTACTCAAGATATTTTTCAATCCTTTTGCCAACCTCAGTGAAATGTTGATTCCCAGAATCTCATCAACTTGTTTAGTTTCACCCAGATTCCCCAAGCAGCTTGTGCTTCTGTGATAAATGTTAATTCGTGGTTTATTGGACTTTAGATTGTCCATTATTGGGTTCTCTATGATCACGAACAATGTATACACATGTAATAGGAGGCAAATCGTTCCATAGTTAAATCAGTGTTCTATCCCTTTCTGAAGAGATTGAGGTATCTATGCACAATTTAGGTTTTAAATTTCCAAGTCCGCTGGTCACTTCTGCTCCCACAATGATGTACAGTCATTCCACCTAGTCTGGAAAGTTTGGCTACTTTTAGACTGAAAAGGGAAAGTTATTTCTCGTGCATTTTCCGCTGAAAAATATTTCCGTACATATATGAATTGTTATAGACATGCAGAAATGTATACGATATTTTAGGATTCTATCATGGATTACGGTTCCATTTAAGTACATGTGATTCATAAATTACCTTTTTCGCTTTTCATTATTAGGACATTTTTGTTTACAAAAACCCTGAACATTAAACGTTTCAACAACAAATAGACAACTATTGGAAGGCATCAAGTTTGCATTAATCGCACATGCTTGTGGTAAACCATGCAAACATGCTTTGATAATATATGTATTGAC